GTGGCCAAAACGTCGTGAGAATTTTATATTTTTTATTATCTTTTCTTTTCATTATTTTATTTCCATTCTACGTGACTTTACCGAAAGGACCAAGAAAATGAATCCCTGCAGTCATGAAAGCTTTAAATCGAAAGTTGTTGTTGTATTTCATTAAATGGAGGGTAAACGCCGTGCCCCTATAAATGTGCGCATAAGTCACCTTGTTGAGCTATTGTTTGCGGTCTCTTCTGCAGAATAATCTAATAGCTCAGTGGGTTTTACCTGCGAAGATAAAATTGTTGTTAATGATTTGTTTACCGTTCTTATACTTTGCACTCCGATCATGCTTTTTTGTATTTTTATTATAAAGTTCTCACCCACCTCAACTGTGCAAAATGTCTTTATAGCTCGTCCATATTCCTCCAGTATATATAAATATTCTGATTTCACTCTCGGATGTTACCAGTGGAGAAAAGCAATGAGGAGGAATGCTTTAGCTCTTGATTCACACGCTCGTAAAAAGGCCACCCTTTTTGCCGAATGTTGAATAACGGAGGGGGCAAGTGTTCATCAATCAGAAATGGGTAGATGTATGGATATTGAACTTCTTTCCCACCGTACGTAGTCAACCGTGCTCATCGGAGGTGCGGGGGGAGAGACAACAAACTAAACACAAAAAGTAGTTCTAAAGAAATTAAGCGTGCAAGTGGTTCAATTGTATCTGGGCCCATAGGCTGGATGGACCCAGGCGCTGGTCCTATGAAGAAGGTGGGGGGGGATTGGACAGCGGATGCCCCGTTTAATTTCTTGCACCAGGGTCCATGTCCACTATGGTACATTACTGGTAGATAGTTTTACTACTGACAGCATGTTCTGAAACAATAAATTGTAGCACCCAACAATCACCTTCCTCCTTCTTCACACGCACTGCTCAGCTTTGGAACGCCCTGCCATCTTCTCGTTTCTCAAGTGCATTTTGCCTCGCTAAATTTCGAGAGACGCGAGCGCTGTTATGGCTCCGTGCCCGTCACGCGCAGCGTCAACGACAGCCACTTCTGCGCCGTCAACCCCAAGTTCATCGGCGTGGTCACGGAGTCAGTCGGTGGCGGCGCTTTTATTGTCCTGTCGCTCGCGCAGGTGACCCCCTCCCGTAAATCCATTGCCTCGACGCACTCGTCAATAACACCGCGGTGGACGGAAAAAAATAACGTGAAGTCAGTGATGTTTTTGGCCATATGCCTTCTTCATAGTGGAGAGATTTGACTTCTGCCTCTACTGCACACAAAGAACAACCATTACCCACAACGTCACCAATTGATATATATTTTTTTTTATTTTCGGGTTGCGTTATTGATAAATATATTTAGATTTTGTAACATATGCTCCACTATCAACGCAGTATCACACGAAACATTGTTTTTCTCAATCCATGGCCCCACAGCGTCTGATGAATCACCACTACCTCCGTGATGTGTTACCCTTGCGATGTCACAAAGGAGCTTGGCTCTTCAAACGGTTCGCAAAAAAAGTATATGTGGCAGAAAATAACGACCACGTTCGTCAATGGTCTTCAGAAGAACCATTGCTCTTTCATATTTTTTTAATTATCTCCCCATTTTCTCAATTCCCAAGTTCCTATAACCTTGCTAAATTCAATAAATGTGTCTCTTTGTGTCTGTTGTAATAATGATTGATATCATTCGCACTCTCTGTTTCTGACCTCTTGAATGTATTTTTTGGCCTATACCCTGCAACTGTGATTTTTGTTTGTACTCACAACAATTGGGAATCTGGATGAATCTCGAGTGGCTGCTTGCATTGTAATCCTTAAACTCGCAATTACTGGATCATTCCGCTGGCAAGCGCATTAAGAGTCAATTGACCTCACTGGGCATCTCCACTTTGGCACGGATTCCAGCAAAAAAAAACATTGCAATATCTAGTACTGGGAACTCACGTAACCGCTCCAAACAACTAAAATCTATGATTATTTAGGAAACTTGTTTTTTTTCTGTGAAAGATGATGTGGCCAAACCCCATTTGTCATGATTGTTTTGGCATGAGGGTGACAATCGGAGACCCTTCTTAAAATCAAAGTTACAGACCAACAACCCCCTCGGAGGGATAAATAAACAATTTCTGCAGATAACCAAGTTCTCCACTAGAGGGTGGGAAAGGTCCTCCCAATAAGGAAACCACATAGCATTTGTTTTTGTTATAAGCGATGTCAGGCGTAGAAGGTGATGTATTCATAAGAAAGCAGGTACAACGTGGCCCATAAAAAAGTGAGGCTGTTGTAGAATTGTGCGTTAAGTCTGGTTGTATTGAATTAAAAAAAACGTAATCTGCTCAACAATAGCCCTACAGACTCTACTGGAGGTCAAAACAATGTAAACAGGAAACGGGAACAAAAGTGGAAATTCTGGTTGTTTAAAAAGAGATGCACATAAAGAATAGCGGGGGAGGGAGGTAGGGAAAGGGGAGGGGGTTGATTGGGTGGGTGAGCTTGTATGCGCATGACCTACTTAACCATTGTAATGCGTCCGAAACGTTATTTTGTTCCAACGTAAGAAAACTGGAGTGGACCAAAGAGAATGTTCTTGCAGAACACACAGTAACTCCTCAAGCCAGAAGAGCATGCACGGCTGCGGATGCAATTGTGGCTCTGATAAATGAATGAGTCGATGCGTCGCCTCTCGTAAAGTAAAAAAAATCTCATCACGAACCGGTCGCCTTTGTGTAGACAATGCTGCCCGTTCCCATTGCTTGCACGCGAGTTCCATGTTCGATATTCCCCTTCCAGCCCACCCGGTGGAAATTCATTAAGGAAATTGCCTCGGTTGGCGATTGGGCGACAGAGGATTCCTCTTCACGCGGCCATTCGATTGAGTCGCCCATTAATGTGCCTCTCCCACAGACCCAATCTCACATTTGGAAGAGAAAAAAACGTTCAAACATATATCATTATTAACATGAATAAATGTTCCCACACACGTGTGGCTTCACAGCTTGCCAAAGAAGATAACCCATCTCACCGGCCTTCACCGAGTTAGGTCACGCTCTGTACAATGAATATAAAATAAAAAATTATCAGCCATTGCTCCATATGCCGGTGAAATAGTTTGTTGTGAATCGACCAATGCATGGATTTATGGATTAAAATCAGCTTTTATGTTCATAATACATGCATCGTTAATTTTTTAACGTATGAATTGATGACTTACTATATGTGGAAATGTTATGCTAATAATATGTTAATGTCACGTTGTCGGCGAATGGAGCAAGCAAAGCTGTACAAACGAGACACATTAGACACAAAACAGTACAGAGTGGTCTAGATGTCTTGTCACACCCCCCCCCCCCCCCCCATTTAATTCTCAAAAACTTTATATGTATTTTAAGTAAGGTTTATTTAAAACATAAATGAATATGCAAAGAGGAGAACAATGTTCGGGGTCAATTAATTGGGGGGGTGACAAGACGTCTGGACCACCCCTTGTCCAACAAGAAGGTACAAATGAAAAAAAACGTGATTTATTGAACCGAACCTCAACAACAAATCGTGACAACTCGTCGAGTCTCTGGGGGAAGGATGCCGCGGGTGGCGGCGGAAGGTTTAAGTCATTAAATGTCTGGTTGCCATGGAGTGTGCAGTTAGCCTGATTTAAGTACCGCTCCCGTGGCTCCTAAATTAAACGCATGGCAGACAACGCTGCCTCCAGTGCCAGGACTCCAGCCAGCCTCCGTCATCTCTGCTCATCACGCTTCCTTGGCCATGATGTGAAAATGACTGCCGATGCACTGCGCCCCCACGCAGGCGACATGGCCTCGCCGCCATATAAGCCACCACCAACGGCTGAGCCATTCTCCCCCTGTGAATTTTTTTTATTTAGATGTATTAGGTATTGTTAATGTATATTCTCCGTTGCCTTGGGAGTGCAGAGTTGCGCGCCGCGTTCGTTGCGTCTGTCCACGTGAAGGGCACAGGCAGCTTGCGTGCGCCGTGCGATGAACTTTCGTCGCTCGTGCCAACACTCGCGTTAGTGCGATGAGCGTAAAATTATGCACGGCTCAGCCCTTCCGAGAGACATTTTAAATGGCCATGTTTCATACAGCATGTTAACGGCCAAACTGAATATCTCTCTTTCTTGCAAGCCTCAGTTTTGAGTTTCACAGGAAGTACTGTTCACATCTTAACACGAGTCCACGTGAAGTGGCTTCCCAGCCGGAGCAGTTGGTGCGCTCGCTGCTTGAGCCCGTTCAAATGTTGTCACCAGTCTCTATTGTTTGCAACAGCAACCTGACAATTTTACATCGTCACATTTTCCGTAGGCAGCCACTGGAAAGTGTGGAGCTTGAGCTCAGCATTTGGCTTTAGAGATTTGTGGGTTCCCCTGAGCCAAGGTTTCTATGCTTGGGAGGTCAGCGAGCGGCTCACAGGTGCTTCACAATCCTGGTCCTGCGTGCAGACTTGGGAGTAGGGCTGCGGGAATTGAAGCGTGCACTCGTCGTGACCAGCCACCCCGACCTTCCTTCAAAATCCACAACGAACACAGGGCAAAGTACGAAGCGCTCTCTCTGCCTTGCCCGTGCATCATGCGGTGTCAAAAGTCCTGCCTCCCGCAATGGGGTTCGTTTGGAAATGTTCATGAGTGTCTGCGGTAACCAAAAACAGGCCAGCGAGGTCAGATAAATTACTGAAGTGGATAATCGAACAACATCGATCTCGGGAGATATTCGGAATCGCGAAGAGAATTAAAGCATCTGAGATCCTTATAATGATGACAGCAGTGAGAAAAACAGTGGTCGAAAGTTCGTTGATGTTTTTTTTTACAGTGATAGACATGATGATGATGGAGTCAATGATGAACACCCTGATGATGAGATCACATAATAAACATTATTTTGGGCAAAGTTTTTCATTTATACACTCACGATCCTGCACACATCCTCGCAAGCTTCCTAACCTCCCTCCCGCTCACACCACCCCCAATTCCGCGACCCTTGATTTTGATCCGCAGATGTCGTGGCGTCCTCAGTACCGCTGCTCGAAGTTCCGTAACGTGTACGGCAAGGCGGGCGGGCGCGAGCGCTGTTATGACTCCGTGCCCGTCACGCGCAGCGTCAACGACAGCCACTTCTGCGCCGTCAACCCCAAGTTCATCGGCGTGGTCACGGAGTCAGCCGGTGGCGGCGCTTTTATTGTCCTGCCGCTCGCGCAGGTGAGCCCCTCCCGTAAATCCATTGCCTCGACGCACTCGTCAATAACACCGCGGTGGACGGAAAAAAATAACGTGAAATAAGTGATGTTTTTGGCCATATGCCTTTTTCATAGTGGAGAGATTTGACTTCTGCCTCTACTGCACACAAAGAACAACCATTACCCACAACGTCACCAATTGATATTTTTTTTTCTTTTCGGGTTGCGTTCTTGATAAATATATTTAGATTTTGTAATATATGATCCACTATCAACGCAGTATCACACGAAACATTGTTTTTCTCAATCCATGGCCCCACAGCGTCTGATGAATCACCACTACCTCCGTGATGTGTTACCCTTGCGATGTCACAAAGGAGCTTGGCTCCTCAAACGGTTCGCAAAAAAAGTATATGTGGCAGAAAATAACGACCACGTTCGTCAATGGTCTTCAGAAGAACCATTGCTCTTTCATATTTTATAAAATGTTATACTTTCGTAGTATAAGGCATTGTTGTTCATATCTGTGCTTATGCACAACTGCCAACGCAGTCACTTGTGTGTGTTTTTTTAATCAATATACTATTTAAGTTTGAGACTTGAGGCACGGAGTGTAAAGCGCATCATGCCATAAACCGGGCCATCTGAGTTCAATTCCTGACTAGGGTTAACATCAGTTGCGAGTGATTTCTTAACCCGTTCACGTGTCACTCACGTTGGTGTTAGCCGTGGCTGGGAAACGAACTCAGGTCTCTAGGTTCATAGCGCAGTGCGGTTTGTTAACCACTGCGCCACTGCTCCACCCAGCCGAAATAATAACGTAATACGAAATTAAAAGGCTTACCTTTGATTGTGGCTGTCCTGTACAAACCATTGGCTCTTGTCCTGTACATATACCGTGCATATCTTGGCTGGTTGATTTAGGATGCCTATTATACCGTAAGTTTGAAAGTTGGGTCGTGGTGAATACAAATTAAAGGGATATTCGGGCGATCTGCCGTTCCGCTATAGCAACGTCACAGCCGTGCATCTGCCTGTATTTTCGTGTTGAACCGTTTGGATTGCATCTTTGAATTGAGGAGGCGCCTCTGCCTTGCATTGGTAGGAGCACTTAAGCCAGGGCTCAGCATCACCGGTCACATTTGCAGTATGTCTCACCTGTTTTATCATGCGGGCAAAGCTATTAGTCTCTCTGTCTATCTGTCTGTCTTTATCTCTGCTTGCTTAAATATATCACCATTTATCACTCTATATGTATCTGTTTACTTGGCTGTTTCCCTGTCTATCTGCCTGTCTGATTTCCAGGCTGTCTGACTGTTTGTTTGGCGGAGAACCGTCAACACATCGTCGAAAGAAATGTTACAATTCAATTATGCCTGCTGCCATCCTACAGCTCAGTGTCACCTGCTATCCTTTTATTTTCCCTAGAAGACAGCCTTTTTTTTTACTGGAAGTCTTTCTCGTATTATCATTGAAGCCATCATTTTGTTGAATGCACCAGGGATGTGGAATCGACGGCCCCGTGGGTCGTGTTTGGCTTGCGGTTTCATTGCATCCTATCGTGCGTAGACACATGAGCCCTACCACTTCGACACCGCCCATAACATTACATGTATCATTCACTCCAAGCGCCTTAGCGTCCTGGCAACATCTGCATTCCTGATTTTAGCACATTCAGTCACTGCCGTCATTTACAAGGGCCTCTTTATGTATGTTGAACTTCTCTCGCACCGTACGAAGCCAACCGTGCTGGTCGGAGGTGCGGCCGTGTATCAACATGTGTCCTTTCAAAGACAAAAACGTTACCTTTGTCCTGCCAAAGACACTTTTTTAAAAGTCCAGACGACGCTCTCCACCCCCTTGCATGAACACAACTGATAACCTCGTGCATCTGCTGCCACACTGTGGAGTGCCTCGAACACTGCACGCCAGATGCACTTCACCTTTCTGCCGTGAAGCGTCTCGCTTTGTCCCCCCCACCCCGGGGTGGTCTGAGAATTGCGATAATTATCGTCGCGTCGTTCCCTCCTCGCCCTCCCCGCGTCGCGCAGACCGGCCGCGTGGATCCCCTGTGCCCGCGCGTGTGCGGTCACCGTGGGAACGTCCTGGACATTAAGTGGAACCCGTTTGACGACAACATCATCGCCTCGTGCTCCGAGGACGCCTCCGTAAGTCGCTCTCGTGCCATCCCCAGGGAGACGGTAACCTCGACGGGGTGATCGGGATGACGTAATCAACGGTGGGCAATTACGCTTTCATGGAAATATCTAAGCGATTCTTAGCCGGTATGTTGTGCGTCTTTTAAGATTTGACGAAAGCTACGTCGGTGGCTTTTGCTAAGATGCGCGCGAAATAAATGAAATAAAGCTCGACTGCGTGTTGGGAGATTTACACGGCGACCAAATGTATGTGAATTGCACTTTCTGGGCTTGCCTTAGAAAGTAAATGTCTGGCAATGGAAAATATCTGGCAATGGAAACGTGTCCGGTTTGGATGAGAGGCCGACAGGTTTGACACGACATGAGATCAGAGGGAAATCTATTGGTGGCGAATTAGGAGTGCTCTCCTCTCATATGGTTGGTTTCTCTTGGCACCCTGGTTTTCTTTTCATTTACAAAGAAAATTGGCCAAATAAACCAAGCAGGAACCTCCTAACACAAGAGCCATCAGATTCAGTGATGATTTCATAGGTAAAAAACCCCTATATTATTAATAAATTTGCAAGTCATAATTCACTCCTGTAGTTATTTAATTAACTGGTTTGATTCAGTGTCACGATTCAATTAAATAATTCAAAACATGTGTCTCGATGTTGCCACCTACTTAGTATCGTTTTTCATTCGTTGTCTCATTCATGCAGTTTAAATCGTTCCACTAACTTAAAATTAACGTGAGAATTTACCTACATTGAAAAAAATAGTTTCTGACAAACTCAATTCAATCGATGCCCACATGTACAATTCAACGAATTCATCACGAGCGTAAAGAGTGGATTTTAATCAATGAATCGATACATTGCTGCATGTCCAGTATTTTTAATGCATCCTTTGTACGCACTGTGCTCCAGATGCCCGTTGTAGAATTAAATCACAGTGATGGCTCCGTGTCGGTTTAGCGCCAATGTCCGCTGCAAAGCCCCGGGAGAGTGAAGCAAACAAAACGCAGTGCTAATAATAAGCGCACAAAAAGTCACAGCACAATATTCGTACGTTGATGGCATCGGCCAGATTTGCAAAAACGCTCGCCCGTTAAATTAAGCGGAGAGGTGTGGACATCACTGGGCTGGCGTAGCGCGCCCGGTTCAACCTCAGGGGGTGAGGATGAATTGTTATTTTTAATACACGGCGACTCGTTTCGGGGAAACAAAATTGGTTGCTTTCTTAATTACACGCTATTAAATGCCTCTAAAATGAGAAAAATGTGCACGTTCAAACTGTTAAGAGGAAGCAATTCATATTCTTAGTTCTTTCGGTAAAGTCACGTAGAAGGGAAACAACAAAATAATAAAAATGTAAAACGATAAAATTCTCACGACGTTTCGTGACTTTACCAAAAGAACCAAGAATATGAATCCCTGCAGCCACGAAAGCTTTAAATCAAAAGGAAGCAATTCGTCGTGGGCAGGACACGCACGGCACGGCTAGAAGGGATAATGACCGACGGTCAAGGATTTACGACGGAGTGGCAGCACCAAGAGATGGAACGCGTCCGAGAGGACGTCCACCGAAGAGATTGAGCGGTGAAGCCAGCTCGTGTGCATGTGTGGGGTGGATTATTATGAGTGGTGGCATAGCTTATTAGCGCTCCGTGCTACGAACCCGGCGACCAGGTGGCGATTCCCGCTCACGGCCACCACCAGTGACGATTATTTGAACCGGTCCCGGGGCTCCCCTAGATCTACTCAACCTCAAATGAGTCCCTGGTGCGGTGTGCAAACATTGCCAATAGGGAGACAAAGGCGGCCGCGCGTGGTGCTGGCCACCCAAACATTGTGTGCCGTGCCGGCCTTCATATGTCCTTGTTAACAGCACTTGCCCCTACAGTCTGTGAAGGCCATACGGGGGGGGGGGGTCTTTTTTTTCTTTATTACATCGCTTAATCGTTGGAGCTGACGACCGCTTTGGCATACTTACATCCGGCACATGATTTACCATGGCTGACGACGAAACACGGAATACGCGTCGGGAATGATTCATTATATACGTGCAATTTAACGTCACTGAAACATGGCATACACCGGAGTGTCTGACAAAATGTCTCGGTAGAGGGACAGCTACCCCTTTTTTTGCCCCCCCCGTTGGGGGAGTGTGTCTGCTGGTTTGTCAAGGGCAGACTGCACCGTGTCTTGACGTAGGGCAAGCCCAGCGAGGCGGCCGTGCGTGTGTGCGTCCGTGCGGTGCGCGGGCGAATGTTGACTACGAAACTCGACTCGCAATTTGGAACAGACACATTTGCTCATAGGTGCCCATACATCTCAAGGTTGCAAATCGGTGAATAAAATGCGATCAACGACTACATTAATAATAAAAAATAATAATAATGAAGCACGTTCCACTGAAATGTCGTGATGTTTTATTTATATTGTAAAAGCACACACTGTGTGTGTCTTAAACTGCCGAATAGGCATTCGCTGTTGTTTTGTTCTCCCTTTTAAATATTGATTTCCAGTCTCCATACCCTATACGTTTAATAATCTCCGCTACAACTTTTGCATTAAGTATTCCCGTAGTTAATGTTTTATTTGTACAACACTGTATTTTTTGCACCGTACCTGTTGGCACATTGTGTTAACGCGATGCGTTTTGTGTTAACGCGATGCGTTTTGTGTTAACGCGATGCGTTTTGTGTTAACGCGATGCGTTTTGCACCGACTCATTTCCGCGCATCATCGCATGTTCTCCCCGTGGTCGCGTGATTTTTTAATCTCTGGGCCCTCCGGTTTCTCCCTGCACATTAATAAACATGCATTGAGATTATTTTGGTGCTATAAATGTCCAAATGTTGTCCCACTTTGCTGAGCTACCATTTGTGGCCAGGTCGCTTCTGAAAACTAGGTTTTAATACCTCAGTGGGCTTTGCCTCGTAGGATAGGGATGGTTTAGTGTTGTATTTGTTTGTGTTTGGGTGATTTGTTTATCTTTCTTGTACTTTGCACTACTATCGTGTTGTTGTACTGTTGGTTGTTGTAATGTTTTTACCCGCCCCCTACTGGACATCTGTGAAGAAGAGCTTTATAGCTCATCGGATTTCTCCAGTATAAATATTATGATTCAAGTTCGTTTCCCAGAGAGTTTCCTTCCAGGTCTGCCCGAGAACTACACCGTACTGTCACTGACATCTCGCCTCGTTATAATTAGATCCGTCGACAACGTTTTTGATCCAGTGGATTATTCTTATTTAGAGCCAGCTGTCCAGGATTGGGCAACAGTCTCAGATTGCTGTTGTCAATACATTTATGTGATGCATCTGCTTTATTCACATTGTTTAATAGATTATTTTCTATTACTTATGTGATCGATAGCTCTTATTTGTAAATTTGATTGTTCTTTATTATGTTAATACTCCGGTTAAATTAACATCTGGACATGTGTGAAAAAGAGCATTACAGCTCATCGGATTCCTCCAGCAGATAAATAAATATTCCAGTATAGATAAATATTCTCAATTGCTGTATGAACAAAATTGATCGCGTTTTGAAAATAATCCAATGACAGGACCCTCCTGAAAAACAGTCTTGGTCTTGAGATTCACTGAGGCTTTCCTGGCTAAATAAAGGGAACCATTTCTACCTGTTAATTGATGTGATGCGATTACTGTTATAAAATGTCATTATTAAAAAAATTTGCGTGCCCATTTGTGGAGAGTAGATACAAAAGGTCTGTTGTAAAGTCTTCCAATAAAGCTATCGTTGATTATTTTTTTTTTAAATATGCATAATGTAGCTATCATGTTTCTAAAAAATTCGCTCATTAGATTAATTCCTGGAGTAAAATATCCTCGATTGTCATCGATTCATTTAAACCATTTGATTCCCATCCATGTATGCGTGAACTGGATTGGTAAATGAGGCTCGTCTGATTAATTTTCTTTGAAAAAAATCAAGCACTTTCATTGACCGATTAACTGATTTCTCGATTGCCGTCGTCGTTACGTCTCGTTGCGCGTCGATGGAAAGGTGCGCGTGTGGGAGATCCCGGAGGGCGGCCTCCGTGCCAACTTGACAACGGCGGCGCGGGAGCTGTACGGCCACAGCAGGCGCGTTGGCCTCATCGAATGGCACCCAACCGCGGTCAACATCCTCATTAGCGCTGGCTACGACTACAAGGTGCCCCTCCTCCCCTCCGCCCCTCCGCCAGCGTCGCCAGTCGCACGGTGGCCTGCCGCTGCCGAGGCCAAACGGACGCTGCACGGCCGTATAATGCATGAATTTTGTAATGTACGCTGAACTTCTTTCCCACCGTACGTAGCCAGCTGCGCTAATCCGATGTGCAGGGGAAGGACAACGGACTTAAACGTAAAAAAGCAGGTCCAAAGGAATGAGTTTTCAATCTAGATGATTTAAAAGTGCACAGCTTCAGTGGCTTCCTAAAATCGGAAGGAAGAGCGTTCCAGACGACCGCAGAAGCGCATCTGCAAGCGCAAGATGCAGTGACCGTCTGTGTTCGATGGCTTAGCCAAAAGCCGCTGCTGCCAGGATGACCGGAGTTCACGTGATGGTCTATGCTCCTTGACGAGATGAGCAATCCAGGGCACACACCTCAAGGGCGCGGGGCGCCCTTCCTGCAGAGACGTGAATACTCCAAAACCGGCTGGGCCGCGATGTGGCCGAGCGATAGCAGTACTGCGAGTGGATTCGTGAATACGTCTGCGCGAAGCTTGAGCGTTCTGCTCGGTGCTCTGGTATCTTTACAAATGGCAATACAACAGAGTTGTTTATTTTTACTGTATCTTTGTGGAGTGTTGGCTCCCCTCGTTGTCAGTGGGGTTTATCCGATTTCCACCCGTATGCCAAGCTAATTCCATCCAACGGAATCCCATTAATTGAATGACCAAAACTTTACAATGTAGAACACTCCTGAAAATGAGCCTTGTTACTCAGAGCCTTTCCTGGAAAAACAAAGCACATTTTCACTAGTTTTATCATTATATCAAGGCACCAATCTCACGCATCAAAGCCTCATGGATTAAGGCCATGAATCAATTAAACCAAATCAATCAGTCTCTTGAATGTAAGCGGATAAATACTGTAGAGACACCACTGTATATTTCAGAAAATATTGTGCGTCAAGAAGCACTAGGGATGACGGGTAAACATTCAAAAAGAGAGAATAGAGGTTGAAAGATACAGGCGAAGATGGCAATGAATATACAATAATATATTGTTTTATTCAGGAGAGCCTCATTGAACCTCAAGGTTCAGTTAAGGCTCTGATTCTGCTTGTGCTGTTATGCCACGAAGGCAAGTTCCTTCCTTGAGACACGTGTACAGCTGGGAGGAAGAACGGTGTGCTCAGAGAAAACCTACACATAATACAAGGGGAGAATGCTTAAAGTTCCATGCAGATACATCAACAACCTATTTGCTGTACTTCCTCTTACAGTCACCCTATTGCCCTGCAGGTGGGTACCTCTCCACCAACTGATTAAATTATATTACAGGCGTGCACCACAATAGTCAGCACATGAATCGATTTAGCTCATGCACATGTCATGAGCTACATCAAGTTTAGCCGATGAATCGATTGTCACTTAACTACAAAAAACCACTGCTAACCCAGCGGTGCTCGGCAGATTTTTATTCATCCCTGACAGGGAATAGCATTGAAACATCTGGAACGAAAACGGCACGAATGCATTTCCTCCATCCTCGTGATATTGTCTACATTTCTGGGATCAAACCATTATCGCGACTCGTATTTTGACCGCATTTCATCAGTCCCATTAGATTCCAATTAAAACATAAAAGTGGACTTGTCTTTTTTCTACAGTGGTTACATAACCTCCAACAACGATCAGAGCCAGTAGAAATTCTGCAGAACCAGAGCTTAAATTTGGATTTAAAGCTTTCGTGACTGCAGTGATTCATATTCTTGGTTCTTTCGGTAAAGTCAGGTTGAAGGGAAACAATATATTTTATTATTTTATTGTTCCCTTCAACGTGACTTTACCGAAAGAACCAAGAATAAGAACCAGAGCTTCTTTAGCCCAAAATATGCATAACTATCCTGGAATATTCAATGGTGGCTTGGCAGGACACATCGATGTTATAACGTGGTGATGGGTGTGGTTTCTTTGGCTACCAGTCCATTGTCATTTGTGACTCAAAGAATACCCTGAATGTGCCCAATCTTGTTGGATTTCGGAAGCCAAGCAGATTTCTGCCCGGTTAGGACTTGGATGGGACACTGGATGGGAATACCAGGTGTTAATTGCTTGCGTTGCAAGGTGGCCAGGATATGCAAGTACAGTAGAGCAATTTCTTTTTTAATCTGTCCGTGTGGATCACTGAGTATTTTCCCCTCAAATTAATGGGTTTTCCATAGGTACTATCGTTTCCTCATATTGCCAAACACGCAATAATGGATTTAGCCAAACTTCTCAATGGACGACCCTGCTAATTAATTATTGAGACTCAATAAGGATGTCGTGGTTAGAGAAATAGCATTGTGTTACAATAATTAAAGTAATATCACTGCTGTCCCTATGGCCTTAGGGCTGGGGTTAAATTGGCTTCAGCCGGTCGATCGCTGCCACTGTCAGTGCGGTTTTTGCCTGCAGCAAAATGCAAGATAAGGCCCCCTCTGAGAACCTCTCGACCCCATCTGAGGGCCCCTCAGATCTAAGGCGTGGGGTAAACTGCCCCACCTCACGCACCCTCTCCACAGCCACATTTGCTTGGGCCTCTGTGATGTCACCAGGAGCCCCACGGAGCCCACACAGTCGTTCTTCTGTTTAGTGCCACTGATGAGTGCCAAAGCAGGGTCTGGCACTGAAACATGTCATCGGTTCTTTCCTTTTCCCACCCCAACCCATAATATTTTGCATTAATAAAGCTCTCGTATCATTATGAGTGGCGCTGCGGTTATCGCATTGCCATGTGAACCCGGCAATTTGAGGATTATTCTTGGCCACGGCTAACATCAGTGGTGGGTGACATTTGAATCAGTCCTGAATCCTATTGTTCACCAACCTGCACTGATTAATAATTATCAAGGTAAAGTATAAACAAACAAAAAAAACTGCGTAACCAGAAGTTGATTACAATGCAGTTTGGATTTATTTTGCGTAAAAATGTCACCACATCTCAAGACGCTGAACAGAAATGGTGGGCATGCTTATTTTAAAGGGCTATAAATAATTACTCTTTATCATCACGATTATATTATCGTTATAGCAGCAATAATGCATTGCGGAGTCATTCCTCTGCGCGTGTTCCTGTGCCATCAGGCCCTTCGTGCCGCTAAACGTTCCCACTGAGACCTTAGAGTGCCAAGGCTGAGGACAACTGTCACACCAATAATAATAAGAACAACTCATTCATCTCAGCAGAGCTGACCCCACTGCTCCTTAAGATGCCCCTCTGGGCTGCAACCTCAGCTACTCCCACAAACTTGCAGGAGCAGAACGAGACCGTGGGTTTCAACTCTTATACTTGGTTTTGGATTTTTTTCAGTTTTTTCCGAAATTCTTGGCAATGGGCCTTAATTCCCCTTGCACCCAGCCATCCTCGCCTCGACTCAACAACTGCGCGCATGCCCCCACGCGACCTCCTGCGCAGTGCGAAGAGAGTTGGTCTCTAACCACCAACGGTCGAAACGTTCACAGCAGTTGGGCGCGCAACCCTTTACGTTTCATATTTACTCAGATAACAAGTACATGCCTGCAGGGGTGTGCGAAGCAGCACTTGAGGCATGTGGAAGTGGTCGGGGCGCCCTGGAGGACCGTCGTGACTCCGGGCTTCGTCCGCTTAGGACTTGAAGCGTGGTGGGAGGAGCGCGGGGTGAGAGGGAGGAGAGAGTTGACATGGTGGGAAGGAGCCGTCCATAAATGACGTCAAGCACCTAGGGGGGGTTCAGACATTTGTGACGATGTGTGACGAGGAAGGGGGGGGGGGGCGTGAGAAATGTGACGTCACATCAAAATGCGCAACTTTAAATACATATAGACAGCACGTTCTACTTAATTAAATAGACTTTTCAATAAATGTTTCTCCTACAACATCAGAGTGCAGCGCCACATTAAACACGCTCTACAATGACAATAGTTTAAAGCGATTTGAAAGCATGTTTTATTTTTAAAATTGAAATATGGTTTTGGGGGGAGGGAGAGCAGATCTTTGTGACGTCATATTTGAGGGGGGGTTCTGACTTTTTGTGACGCCGTGTGACGAGGGGGGGGGGGTCAATAATCGTCCAAAATCGCGTGACGTCATTTATGGACGGCCCCGAAGTCGGAGATACAAGAGCGGCTTTCGAAGTTTGGGGTTTTAAGGGCACGGCGGAGAGAGTTTGTACGAAAGCTGAACAGCACCCCCTGCCTTCTTCCGCTTGTCCTGGCACTTAGAAACTCCACGCGTGCGGACGGTGCTGCGTGCTTGGGGTCATGTCTCAGCGTGGTTCAAGGTCACAGAATCGGGACACTAAAAAGTAAAGTGTTTAAGAAAATAAGCAAAAATCTCTTGGAGCGTAATAAAGGTGAGTAAATGTGTTTACTTTACAGTGCGGTAATACGACACATTACCCAACCCTTCTGTCTTCATCGTTTTTGGGTTGTGGAGGCCTTCACGAGTCCCAGCCAATCGCAGGGTAATTTCATCACCGCACACGTTGTGAAAGCGACCATACAGTCGTCGTCAGTTTCCTGATTAAGCATGAGTCGGAGGTTACGATGTACAAAACGAGACGTTTACTCTAACCCTATTTGTTTTATACCAAAGGTTCCGCAGCTATGGCATGAATGATCTTGTGTCATATTACTATACTTGTAATTATTATCCTGCAAAATATGTTTTATTCTTACTAAGCGAAATTATTCAGACCGAGACCTAAACTCGCAGTAGCACAGCATCATCTTGTAACCCATTGAAGGAGAAACGTCTGCATCAAGATTTTAAAATCGATGCCTTCTCTCCCTGGAAGAAAATGCTTTTTTGTCAATAAGTCAAAACATGCTCAGATTTCTTTACACTCCGCAGATTAACACCGGGTGGCTTGCATTTTGAAAGAGCTGCGGTTTATGGCGTTGACATGGTGGGGTTGTTTATGGAGTTACCACATTTCTGGAAAGCTCCAATTTGGACACTTTGGTGAGTGGGAAATATCTACCTCCATAAAAAAAACCTCGCCCACTTTTACATAACCACGCCTACTCCATTACTTCCACAGAGTGAGTGGGTTGGCTTTCCGATGTTGGCCCTATCTACTGCTCACAGTCTTTAGTTTGTTGTCCTTCCCCCACACCGATTAGCGTGGTTGGTAATGTACGGTGCAAAAGAAATTCAACATCCATACATAGGTCCCACCTACTCTATAAATTCCACCCACTACTCAGCCCTGCCCTTTTCCTGTATCATGAGTCGAGCATGGGGCCAGATAATTTTAAACTGGGACGAAATTGTGCTTTTTGCAAATGCTTCGGGACATTGGGACATATTTTTTTCGGAAACCGGGACTGTCCCGGCCAAACGGGGATTTTTGGTAGCTTTATTAACCACGTGGATGTGCGAACTCGGCAGATACTGGTGTGGAACGTGGAGGCAGGCGAGGCGGTGCAGGTCATCGACTGCCACCGGGACGTGGTGCTGTCACTCTCTTTCAACACGGACGGGAGCCTCCTCGCCACCACCTGCAAGGACCGCCGCCTGCGTGTCATCGAGCCGCGCTCTGGCGCCGTGCTACAGGTCAGAGGTCAAGGGTCAGTGAGGAGGAGCCATTGAGTGTGCTGGCGATGCAACTTTGCCGGGGACTACAGGCTGGAGGGGCCCGGGTGCCGGGCTACTGGAGTGCCACGGTGGCAAAATGTATTCAGGAGGTCGTGAATTCGATCCGAGACATCTGACACCTGTATATTTGGAGTTTGCATGTTCTCCCCCATGGTCGCGTGGATTTTTCTCCGGGTCCTCCAATTTCTTCCTCTACATTTATGAACATGCGGTTAGAGTATTTAGCTGATATATATTTCCACGTGATAAACCACTTCATTGAGCAATGATCCGTGGCCAGGTTGCTTCTGAAAAAGAGCTCTATAGCTCAGTGGGCATAGCCTGGTAAAATACAAATAGTTTAGTTTAAATACTTTGATACTGAGAGCAGGTGAAATTGAATAGCGGACTCCCTCCCTCATTTCATTCCTTGCAGGAAAGCCTGTGCCAGCCATCCAATATCACTGTCAAGGGCTCTCATAAATTGGATGAATGGATAAATTACCAATAAATAATATTCAATACAATGTTTTAATCAATAAATGGCCCTTATTTATCCAGGAAGGCTACACTGGATCTAAATAGTCTTTTTGAGGAGTGCCATCGGTTGATATGTTTGGCCAGTTACTTTTTCATCATCATTATCATTCCTGTCGTAATCATTGCCATCTTCATTCTCATCATTGTGATCATCGTTGTCCCCCTTATAAGTGGCTTATGTAAGCACCACCCAGCAAGGCTGTTTGGAAATACATTTTAATAATTCTCCTTTGCAGAGGTCAATCCCCATCAAAAGAACATTGCATTCCCAAACACAAGCATGCCAGCACGAATTACTCAACACATGCATCAATAACTCTGCCTTAAAAAGGGAAAATATTGAGTCGGCAACGTTTCGTGTAATGCCCCTTCTTCATGGCACATGGAAGGGTCATTGAACCAAAATTACGTCTCGTATATATTCCCTTATAAGGCCACAGTGTTATTGGCAAATATGTTGAGATTTTAGTTTTGTGTGCTTGTGCACCCAATGCCAACGCAGTGGCGTCTCCCATATATTTAATTTTGAAGAGAACAGCAATTATTAGCATGATTACCAAGTGCAGTGAGCATAGGAACACTTTGTCTCTTCCCTTGCAGGAAACTCACTGTAAAACTCACAAGGTGAACCGTGTGGTTTTCCTGGGTGACACGAAGAGGCTTCTCACCACCGGCTCCTCCCGCTGGAACAACCGGCAGATCATGCTCTGGGACCAGGTGGGGGCAGTTAATCTCGGATGTGAATAAAGGCGTCAACAGATTCTACTATTGAAGCGGTGGTGCGGTGATCAGCGGGCTGTGCTACAAACCTGGCGATAGCTAACCACAGTGGCGATCAGTGGTATCTGAGCTTAAACCTGGGTGCCCCTTCACCAACTCGCTCTGACAAATGCGGTGAAGTATGGTCACACAACCCCAATGATATTTACTGAGCTCTGAGAAAGGACTATTGCCCATGATATTAGCTCATGTTTTTTGACATACATAATTTAAATTGACAGTGGTGATATGTCTTAATGCTTTTTAACCTGACTATCAAAAGCAGTTACGTTGTCTCAGAAATACTGCAGTGCTGACTTGTCAATGTGCAACATTAAGAAGAAATGTTGTCTTTGTTCCTCTTTAGACGGATTGCCAATCTTCAACACCGATGCACTGCAGCATATTCTAAAGAAGTCTGTCTCTGGTGTAGGCCAATCAGTTTCAAAGAAAATGCATTTTATCAGAGCATATTTGCATGTTTTGCCACAGGTATGTGTGGTTAATGTAGACTTAATGCCTTGCAAGTTATATATTTTGTGTTTAATGATATTAACACCTGCTTTATTGCCAGAAAGGGTAAAGCCTATTCTTTCCCCCCCCCCCCCCCCATAATTTTAACACTTGTAAAAAGGTCCCATTAGTACAGTTGGCTATGTACAGTACGAAAGCAGTTCAGCATAGGTACATTACACAGCTGTGCCCCGAGGGCCACCTTGTAGTCACAGCCGGCGCTGATGAGGATGTTGACATAAAATATTCTCATAGGTCTAAATCGTGGTATTTCATCGCTGATCTTGTTTTCCTTTCCCCCCCCCCCCGGTGACGACCCGAATGCGCTTCATGTGCGTGGCCGAGCAGGAGGACCTCTCAGAGCCCCTGGTGCAGGAGGAGGTGGACGGCCTCTCCGGGCTCCTCTTCCCCTTCTATGACCCTGATACGCGCATGCTGTTCCTGGCCGGAAAGGTGCGTGCGCCACTGCCACCGCAGAGGACCCAGAGGGGTGCTGCGGTGGCAAAGATGTTAACTATCTCGCCTGGTATACAGGTCGTGGGTTGAATCCCGACTGTGATGCCTATATTTGGAGTTTGCATGTCTTTCGCTGTGGTCGCGTGTACCTTTCTCCGGGTCGTCTGGTTTTTCGCTCCACATTTAGAAACATGCATTGCTATACATTTCCACATGATCAGCCACTTCTTTGAGATATAATTTGTGGCCAGGTCGTTTCTGATAAAGAGCTATATTGCTAAGTGGGCCTTACCTGGTAAAATAAAAATGTATATATTTATAATAGTGTAGTGGGTATAAATTGACGGATAACTTCTTGTGAGGCAACACGATATTTATTTGGCTTTTATACAAGGTCCCTAACACAAAGGGGTATAGCGGCCCCTTTACCCGATACCTGAGGAGGTATGGCCTCCAGACTATACGGGCCCCATCACTGGGAATCCCGTTAACCTTCATCCTCCTGCTGGGGCCCTAGGGGAGGCTATGCTGACTCGACCGTACCGGGTCCTCGGGTCCTGACCACTGGCCTCATTGAGCTCCAGCCCTTAGAAGGACAATGGAGCTTGGGGTCCAGGGTCCTAGCTTCAGCCCAGGTCTTCGGTCTTCGGCTTAGAGATCACTGAGCCAGACCCTTGAGAGGTCCGGCTTATATACTGGTTTGTGGCTTGCTCCGCCCTAGCCACGCCTCCCTTCCAGAACTTTCTGGAAGGAGATATCATCCCCTGGTCCCCCCTCCCGGGGTCCCGGGGAATGTGTCCCAGGATCCGTTTCCTAAGGATTGTCCTTGGCCCCTTTTGGGCCATGGTCATGAGCCCTGGCATGATAGCTCTTCCGCCCCCTATTTACGAAAAGCGGGAGTTACCAGCCCACAGTGTGAAGAGTGCCGATTACCCCTACAATAGTAAGCCAGGGCTTAACTTCAGCCAGGTTTGTCCAGGTTGCCAAGTTGGAACATATTTCCACACAGAGTACCGCATCCCCAGTACACCTCTCGCTTTGGCCTTGGCTACTAGTCGACTTGCCACCTACTTCGGTCTACCACGTCCTCCTGCACACCAGGCTAAGTAATTAACATCTCGCCGCAATGGTGAGATGTCAATGATGATAAGCAAAGCCCAAGGCTCATTGATGTATGTTATAATTATAATTCTATCCTCTAAAGGTGGAAGTGGTCATGCAGTGTTTAGCAGACTGAACTTGGTAACACAAGTTCGATTTACATCCACAGCTAATGTCAGTTGTGAGTGATATCTGAACCAATCCTGGGATACATTCACCAACCCACACTGACCTGCATGATGTATCATCAACGACATAATGTGGGGAACTTTCATCCAGCAGTGAATTAACAAAAGGCTATTACTCATGTAATTTGCTGTACATTGTAATCAAGTCTTTCTGAGTATGTGGTGGGGAGGAGTGGTGCAGTGCCTAGTGCACTGCGCGACGAACCCAGCCACCCCAGTTAAACTACTTGACATCTGTGAAAAATAGCTTTTCTAGCTCATCGAATTCCTCCAGTACAAATAAATATTCTGATTCTGAATTTCCACTCACACCTAACATTGGTGACGACTATCTGAACCAGAACTGGGTCTCACCGAGGTTAGCTCAGCCTTAAATGAGTATCTGGTGCGGTGTGGAAACATCAGCATTGGGGGTACAAAGGTGTGGAAACATCAGCATTGGGGGTACAAAGGCAACCGGGCATGGTGCTGGCCACCCACCCCCTTGTAGGTGCTCGCTAACAGCAATTGCTCCAACAGTCTGTATATGCCATATGGAAGATCTGTCTTCTTGTATGTGTATGTGCTTTGACCATTTAACAGGGCGATGGAAACATCCGCTACTATGAGATTGGTAGTGACAAACCGTGCCTCCACTTCCTTGCGGAGTTCCGGTCACACTATCCTCAAAAAGGCCTAGGTAAGGCGGTCATCTTTTCAAGTTATGTTGTTTTGTGACAGCACATGGTTTGAACGTTGTTTCTTTGTTCATATTTACGTGTTCATCTGATGTAGTGTGCAACGTGCATCTGTGGTTTATAAAATTCTGCATTTACAATTCGATTCTGAGCAGTAATTTACAATGTACAACTTGTCTTGCACAATTTTCTTATTTATCCTTTTTATGAAATGCGATCTCCACTTTCTTGGCGCTGCGTTCCCCTAATCTTTTTCTTGACACGGCACATTTCAGTAAAACGCGACTCTGTGGTAAATGATCATGAATGCCTCTTTGTATCGCTGCGGTTGTGAGGCAGCGGTTGCTGCTGTTGTTGTTGTCGTCGTCGTTGTACTTGCCACCGGCTGCGTTGGTAACGCCACCCCGCGCCCATTCGTTCCCCATTCGTTCCCCAATCCCCCCCCCCCCCCGCCGCAGGGGTGATGCCCAAGCGAGGCTTGGACGTGGGGGCGTGCGAGGTGTTCCGCTTCTACCGCGTCGTGGTCATCAAGGCGCTCATCGAGCCCATCTCCATGATCGTTCCGCGCAGGGTGAGCCTCGCTCGCATCTCGCGGCGCACAAGCACCAGCAGTTGCAGCTTCCCACATTTCTCTTTGCACTTCTTCTTTCGTACGGCTGACGCAGATGCAGAGCAACAACTTACAATTTCACATTCACTTGGTCAAGCCAGGCAACCGCGTCAGGAGCAGCGGAGTGTATCATCGCTGCGATGTCTACCTTCGTATTTATGGGTCAGGCATTGCGTCGTTATATATTGTAAAGTCTGTTCTGGATGACCAGTCACACACTGCGGACAGCTTTGAATTTTTCATTTGAGCATCTGGCATCCGCATCTGCCATGGTTTGTGCAGATGCAGTTCAGGGTTGCCAATGAGCTTCATGGAAGATCAAACCCAGGGATCTGTACAATAATAGCATTATTATACAAATAAAAATCTAATTTACATTCTAATTGTAGGGATGCTGCCGTGGCACGATGGTGAGCACAATACACCACGGCAGACGTCGCCGTTTAGATTTGTTCCCGCGGCACGGCAGGTGAAGAGATTGATCAAGTCTCGACACGCCTCTGTCCACTCAGCGGTACAAATGGGCACACCGCAGTCAGTTGACTGGCAGGTTGCATGTGGTGGGGTAAAGTGTGGGTACTACCACCTCTTTCAAGACGTCTGGCCTGCATGGAAGAGTAGGCCAAATACCCTCGAAAGGCGATGTCTAGCACTTCCTCTAGTGGATCCCCTTCCGCCCGCAGTGGCGTTGGCAATCAACATTATTTCACGGGACAATAAAGAATACTTTCATAACTGTCACAACTAGCAGTGCATCACCTTGTGTCAGAGAATAGCCCTGGCATATGACATCACATAACTGAGTTTGAAGTTCCTTGAGTAAATCTCTTTATCTGCACAAAGGACATACCTTTTATATGACCTGCAAAGAATGTGGCACATTAATCAAACTGAAATGCATATACACCTAACTGCAATAAAAGTCTTTGGTGATTTACCTGAGATTATGAACTCGCTATGTACTTTAGAATCCGGTTTAACCAGACAAAAGGCTCTCTGCATGTTGTAGTACCAAGGGGCAATCCAAATGAGTACCAAAAAAAATGTTGGCGGTTCGGATTCATGGCTCTGACTCAGTATTTGTCACCAGACTGCCTCCAATTATGACTTTTGAGAGGTGTTATTTTGACCATCCAATAAATTGAATTACAAGCATTAAAGGCATTTGCAATGCGGGCAGTATACACATCGACACCAGGTGTTATGGGCTGCTGCAGTTCAACGTGGACAGCAGAGAGCAGTGGGGAAAACTCCACTGTACCGTACTATTCTACCACAAATATGCTCGCCGCCTTCGCCAACACACTGACCAGCACTCCTACAACCATCACAGCATGCAGAGGCCCTTATCGTACATAGCCAACCACGCACCTGGGATTAGCACGCTTGGCTATGGTACGGTGCAAAATAAATTCAACATATATCCAGCAGTGGATTTAGACATGGGCTGCGCATGTACGGTAAGTCGTGTAGCTCCTCAGACGATGGCGGCGTTTTGCGTCATTGTATTTTTAGTCCGACTCGTACCAAGAGGACCTCTACCCGATGACTCCAGGGGCAGAGCCTTCAATGACGGCGAGCGAGTGGCTGAGCGGAGCGAACCAAGGTGGGTACCACGAACGGATACCGCGCCTCCGTCAGCGCAGCGCTCGTAGTGTTAACCCTATGTCCGGCGAAGCCTGCCAGTTGACTGACAATTCACATGGGGGGGGGTTGGGGGGGGTGGGAGTGAATTTAATAGATTGGCAGGTGAATTTATTATAGAGGCGAGGTGTATTGGATATAATTTGCAGAGGTGAATTGAATAAACGTATGTGAATTGAACATCAATGGATAGTGAATTTAGTACTAAGTGGTCAACTGGGCAGGGTAGCAGAGGGGACTTGGAAAGAGAGAGGTTAATGGGTTAACATTGCAGAGGTGAGTTGGAAAGGAAGATCGAAGGTCACCTGAAGAGAGAAACATGATAATTAAAGTGCCAGAAAGGATTTTAATAGCGTACACACGCGGATAAAAGTTACACAGGCGAAAGAACATCAGAAGTGAATTGCATAGAATGGCAAAGCGTCGCTTGAATAGGGTACCAGAGGTGATTTGAATAAAGCATCGTGTTAATTTAGTGGCCAACCATAGGTGATTTACACAGACGAGCAGCGGTGCATTTTAGAGAGTAACAGATGCACAGTGAGCAGAAAAACAAGGGGCGTGGAGAAGCAGAGGTAAATTGCACAGAATTCACCATTCGACTTTCAAACAAACATGAAAAAAACCGCATGTCGTTGCCTCTCTTCACAGGTCCTGTGCTGATGTCGATGCGAGCAAGCTATAGACCCCAGCCCCGATCGGGCCTGAGAGCCAGTGGAGGGGGCAGCCGGCCAGAAAGAAAGGGCCTCATAGTTGACGGTTATGACCTGTTGGACAACGCGCCTCCCAAGACAGAGAATGAGGCAAGCGAATGGTGACCCCCATGTTTGGTTGCACCACGGCGATTGATGATTACGAAAGGGTGTGCATGTTGCAGTACCAAGGGGCATCTCCTCCCTGAACTCTCTGCTGGTCACTTATTGCCACGCTGTCCGACCAGTGTGTACAGGTGCTGTCAGTCATGCAGTTCACCTCCTACTCCCGTCAAATTTTACTTTATTCAATTTTTGTGTTACTCTGTTCAGTTCACATCTGCTCAATTAATCTTCTATTCAAATTCATCGATGCTAATTCAATTAACGTGTTCCTCTGTTCAATTCACCTCTTACTTCATTTACCCAAGGGCGTTATCATCAGCCATGATCAATCCACTGCTGGATGAAGGCCTCACCAAACCGGCACCATCTCTGCAATGTAACAAAGCGCAGCACCTGCACACACACCGATGTCATCGCTGCATCTGTGGTGAATGTCGTCTCAGGCATCTCAGCAGTGGATGTCCACTTCAGTGTCCAGAGAAAGCCCCACACGAGGGAATATCACTCAAATATCTATGCAGATACTTGATGTACTGCCATAAACTGGTCACCACATTGCAGACATTCAAATCTGTATATCTTGGACCATAGTGTCCTTTGCACGTCGCATATTCTGACGAATTGGATGTATACATTTAGTATCCTGCAAATCTCTTCACATCTTCCTGACCTCTATCCCTCCCCTACCACCACTATCCTGCAGACCTGGTTTTCATCTTCAGATGTCATGGCCTTCCTCAGTACTGCTGCTCAGTCTTCAATAACGTGTACGTCAAGGGAAGGCAGAGATGATGACTTGGCAGTGGATTTGGCTTCATCTCCTTTTCCCATTCTTGCGTGATTGCGAGCAGCTCCTCAGGATGTTTTACCGGCAGCACGACGAGATCCGGCGGCTCAGGGAGCAGCTCACGCAGCGCGACCTGCGCGTTCGACAGCTGGAGCTGGAGCTGCACAACATGCGCAACAATGCCAAGAATGCCTGACCCCCTGAACCGTCTCTCACGACCGCTCACCCCCACCCCCCCCCCCATCGCCTTCACCATCGTGCACTTGCCGGTCCGCTTCAGCATCTTCTATCAATACGCACCGACACAGATGCCTCTTATTGGTCACCAGTGCCCAGCGTAGTGGGCCGGCAGATTAAAGCGCTAGCCGCGCTGAGAATGTTCCATAAACCCTCGCCGACCCCTTTGTTCACTTCTATCCTCAACAAGTCACTCGCCTGCTTGCCGTCTACTTAAACGTGCAGTGGTTTGTCAGCGTTCCTGCTCTCCTCCTTCCCCAAATCCTGACCAAAGGCTCTGTGAAGTCACTGCCAATCATATCCCGAATCAAACCCAACCACCACCACCGCAAATTTCTTCCTTCTATTGAAAGTATTGTACAAAGCAATGTTGACACTATAATACCATTTTTTCTTGTTGTTGCCAGTCATGTTTTCTGCGGAGTTATTTGCCATGAGGACAGCGAAAGAACTGTCAATGTTTTTTTTTAAATAAGACATCATACCCAATCGTCGGCTAAATGCGAGTTGCTCTAGGGGCTGCACTTAATAGCCTTGCGGTATTGTCCAGTGGCTTATTGGATTGCCTTATCCTGGAAAGCAAGCGTCGAGGACGAGCCGCACTCACGAGGGCCGGGCGCTGTCCCACGACGGTAAAATTATCCCCCGGGACAAGGAGCCACCCCCCCCCCCCCCCTGGGGGGCCCTTAGCTCATTCTTTGCATGGCAGCACAGACGGTCGCGGTCTTACCAACGCTCTGGGTGACCCCGATTGATGCGACCCGGGTCACCGTGACCCACCATCGCTCCGATGAGCAGTGGTCTATTAGGAGCGGTGCTCGATTGGGACAACGGCGTTGCTCTATTTTTCGTCGATCAAACACGTGGTGTTGTTTTTATAGAAAATTATAATCCAAGCGAACATGCGACGATTTAAGAAACTTCAGAATTGCAGTTTTCTGCCCAGTCTCGTCTCGCATATCGCCATGGCGTGTCCCAACCAGAACCACTCTCTCATGTCGCCATAACTTATTCGTTATCTTGTCCACAGCAGCCATGCTATACTGTGGCAAATGCTATATACTGCGATAGTGCTTTGGTGACAGAAAACACGTATTGCTGTGGTGGTGTATGTGTAATCTATTGGCTGTGGAGAAGATAATGGGGGCAGAAACATCACGTTAAACAGAGACAATGCAGTACAATGCGGCTGTGGGCTTTTTGAGGAGTGATGTTATTATTGGCCGTGCCAGTGTCGTGAGGATTAATTGACTCCTTAGCAATCCCAGGTCTCTCGTGGCAATATACCGTTCTTAGTTTTTGTAGGCATTTAGCCTTTCACACGCAAAGCACTACTTGATTTGACTTTAGCGAAAATCAAATGTAATCATTTACTGTAATGTAAAAAAAATACTGTATAAAGCCTTTTTACATATTTTGTTAATCTATAGAATGTATTAGAGCGTTATTGATTTTGTTTGCCAAAAATGAAAAAATATATATACGGTATAACGAATGACGGGGTATTATTATTTCATCACGCGAACACGAGCAGTGGCACACCACAGGGTGAGGTTTTATAGCGTCGCTCTTTTGCCACCGTGTAACTATTTTGACAGTGCGTTGCTGCTGCGTACGATATAAACAACCCAATAGAGCACAGCTCTGGATGTAAACTTTCAAAAGGGTGGAACCGTTGCGGCATTCAAAATGCCTCGTTTATCCAGACAAATATTCCGGGAGCCTGAAGACTCTTTTTGGAGGGCCTCCTTCTACAATCAAACGGTTGGCCAATTCATTTAATGCGGCGTTTGGCTTACGGGGAAGATCAAGAGTAGCCGGCAGACGAAAAGCAATCACCACGCATTGCATTGCTCACGGATGACGCTCAAAATCTAACGCGCAAATTGATTCTGGAATCCACCGATTTCCTGCCATATTACCTACACGCAGCACGAGCGTACAACACACACACCTTGGGTACGGCATTCCCCCATCGCTGGAGTTGGAACAATTGAAAGGAAGCTCCCGCAGGAGCGGTATTGGAGGTTGCTAGTATTGTGAAGTGGACGAAACGGTGCCCGCCGTGATGGCAGCCAGCAGTTCCCATGCACCACCTGCGACAGCCACATTTCACCGCTCTCACAGAAACGCAGCCACTTGATAAAGTTAAAATTCGTGATTAATGCGGCCTCTTATTAAACATCGGCTTATTCGGGATGACAAAACTGCATCACTGGCTCTACCTATTAAATTCCTGTTATAGTCACCCATGAAAATATTTCCAAGGCTACTGGATACCCAAGACGAGAGCTGCCATAATGTATTTTTTTTACCTAAGCCACTGTTTCCCCCCAGTTTTTATACAAATACACTGAACTTGATAACTAGTGATACATTGTGATGCACGTACAAGTTTTAGACAGCACAGCAAGTTCCAACTTTGCTGCACAAGACATGTGATAACACTAAACGCACATCACGGGTAAATGCTGGCATTACGTTTGTCTTACTCATCTCGTGCAATGAGTTGCGGTGGGAGTGTCTTAAACTTGAACGAGGCTCCACCCGAAACCACTTAAAACGTTGCACAAGTGCGCCCCCGTGCAACATTGTCACGTGGAACGACCATAACAATCTCACTCCCAACTCCTGGTTTTGACCGTTGCATCTGGCTGCGTATTCACCATCGCGACATGGGTTTAAAACGTGTCAAGGACCCTTCCATCGCGTGACCTGAATGGAGATGCGACGTTGCGTCAGGGATATAACCGGAAAATTGCTCCCCGTGCGCTACCGTGCATCACAAATACATAAAAGACTTGAGGCATGTAGCGAGCACCCTGTCAATAACATCGGGGATGCATTCATCTCGTTCTTTTTTTAAAGGGGGGGGGGGACGGGCCTTATAGGATAATTGGGTCTGTCGCTGGTTGGCAATGGTGAAAATGTTTAAAGATACGACTCGGATGTGATCAACTAAAAGCACAACCGTTATGCGAGTTTTTACCTTCAACTGTAACCTTCCTACCCAAGTGACATTTAACCAAAAAAGCCTCAAGTCCTGACGAGTTTTCATTAGGCTCAGTTATACTGGGGCATGTTGACAATTCCTATGTTTTTGCATGTGGGAGAAAACATCTCAACTGCTTTAGGAAAATAATGAACGAGAGAACTCGGATAAGGTAACAAACTTGCTGTACTACGACTACCACCCCTTTCAGGAAACTGCCCAGCAGGTGGGTGTCTTACATCACGGCGTTCCGAGAACCAGATATTCAGGCCTTGCATTCCTACACGGTGCACCAACAATCACAGCAAAGTGTTGCACTCGTTTATCACCACACCCTACATCTCATGGTCACAGGTGATAGATTAAGGCAGTCCCAATTCCTCCAGATAACCTTGGTATCATGCGTTAACAAAGTCAATCACCATAATCAAATGTTTTGGGGGCAAAACATTCTTGGCATATACACATGGAGTCCCAAGCTTTCAGAATCCAACGACATTTTGAAAAAACAAAAGAATCCAATAACAATGTCTATTGCATATGACAATTAACTTCCCAAGCCACTGCTTTCATGCGTAACTTTCCAATTGCCAACGTTGTAATGCACCAATTTGGCCATACACCAAGTAAATGTTCGCCTACATCGTACCTTACTTCCCAATTTGTCTTAACAGTAAAATGATACCTGCATCTCGTCGTGGAAGCGGATGTCAGTCTGACCGTCAGTTACGTTGAAAATATGCTGCGGCCAAACGGTAGACGAAAGCTTAAAAATCAAGATTGGTTACCCACTTGCCTGTCCCGTAACGACGATGCAAATAGCCTCATGGTGCCCAGGTGAATAAGCAACGCCCAAAGGAGCCAGGCCACAAGCATGTCATGGTAAAGCAATACCTGCACACCACCCTTTATAGTCAAAGACTTCAAATCTTCAGCTCACGCACTGCTGATCTCATATTGGCAGTCTCCACGGCAGCAGAGCATTTTAATGTATGAATTCCCCCCCCCCCCCCTGCGATAACTGCGTGCTTTTTGCAGCCCCACGTGGCAACGTCCTTTGGGGTAAATTAAAACGTTGGGAAATGCAGACGTTAAAATGAGCCAATTATAGCCTATCAGAACCTACGCCGCATCCTCGGTGCTTTCTTTGTGATAATCCGAGTTTGGGGATTAGTTTGTGCACGTAAAAATCGGAATATGGTGGATAAATTCATATCACCAAAAACACACGAGTGCATGCCTGAAACTGATGTTGCTTTCCATTCTTTGTCACTGCGATGCACAAGTCGAGGGGAACAGTATTTGCTCACTAGTGTGTGAACCATATCCTTGTGAATGTGATATGGTAAACTTTGAACATCCTGGTTGAAGCTATTAATTGCCAAGGCCAGCCAGTCTAAATTGTGATTCTGCTTACATAACACCATCTTTTAAGGTCCACCTAGTGGTGGGTTGAAGAATTAACCTCCAGTGCAAATTAATGAAATGGGCACCATTACATTAAAATTGCAGATGCATTAATGCTTTTTACTTCACAAGATTAGACTTTTTCTGACTCAGCTTTGTGGGAACAATTTAGTGTTTAAGCATTTTACAATATAGGATGTCAAACACATTTGAGTAGCACACAGAAACGTCGAGGGATGCAATGAACTCGAAGTATCAATGTCACAGGCAGAAAAACAAGCGTGCGTAATAAAATCCCTGAATGTTTTACTGCACATCTTTATCACAAGTCACCTCACACAGAAGCAATATTGAATTATGTAGTTCATGGTAACACGAAGCTTATCCCCCATTTTATTTTTAAACAAAAGTCCCCCATCGCGAATACCACTTTTGTTATATAAAATTTATTGAAATTAGTATGACAGTGGAAAGTCAACAACCCATTCAATCTCAAAAAGGAAAAAAACGTACTCGGATTAAAATAAAACCGGTCATTCAGTTCTTCAGCACAACACCGTTCACAGCCACACTCGGTACAGACAGTGATAAGCACACCTGCAGTGCAGACGTACTGAGGGAAGTGGGGAGGGAATAACACAGGCGGAGCAAACCTACATTTAATCACAAAAAGCTACACTTAACCTATCCTCCTATCCTATCATTCCATTTGCTTGGTATAAAACTGCCAATATTTACTATCCCCTATTTCAATGACTGCTGCTGTGATGACACCGAAACCCTAATCCATCAGTCTGTCCAAGTCGTATGTACAGAAAGAGGCTCTTGACGAGGACTGCTACCTGAAAAGCGAGGAACAATCAAATTTGGCAAAAATGGGACAAGGAAGACAACCTAAATGCTTCCACAAATAATGTCACTGGAGACAGGGCACGCAAGGATGGCAGGTGGGTGGAGATGGATGGGCTCCCTGCAAAATGAAAATCTGGGTCGGGTGGGGGGGCTTTGGTCATTACGGTTACTGTCATCTGGCTATTTACATCGTTATCACCCTTACATACAGAGTATAAAAGCCTGTAACACGTCAAGGCAACGTCTAACACTGTCGACCAATCACAACTCATCAGACCAGGGCGGCACAGCATAACGACACTACTTCTGTTGCTCCAGAAGCCAACACAATTTGTCTTTATTAAATACTTTAAGAAACAGTCAAAACACCGAGCAAAGGAGAAATCACGGAAAAAAAAACTAAGGCCGCATAAAAATAACTCACATTTTTTTTCCTTTTTTGCTTCAGAATTGTTTTCTCTCAAAGCAACAGTGTCGCACTTTCCAATTGGCCAAGCCCTGTTCTCGGTTGTGATTGGCTGAGCCGGTTTATTTTAAATTTGTTAATTCTCTTAATTATCTTCACTCGTCATCTTCTCCATCTTCACCATCTTCTTCATCTCCCTCATCATCAACGTCACGCTTCCGTTTTTGTCCCTTACTGCTTCCATCTTCTTCTGCAAAGAGAAAAAAATTATTAAGACACGACTCCATAAATAACCAAGAGTAATATTTAATTTACAGTCCTAATCTTTGATGTTAAATTATGAAGTAACATACCCTCTTCCTCGTCTTCATCATCCTCATCTTCTTCGTCATCATCCTGAAAAAAAATTGACATTGTTTTGTAAATCAGTGCGCTTTACTAAAATATACCTACTCACTTGAAAATAAATGAAAATTATCCAAGAGTCAATTGAACCGGTACGCTTACCTCATCTTCACTATTCTCGGCCTCTTCTCCATCTTCTTCATCTTCATCCTCCTCATCCTCTACTCCAACCTCTTCCTCATCAAACTCCTCATCCTCCTCCTCTCCATCCTCAACATCCTCTCCATCCTCTTCTGAAAGAGAAATCACGTATTCTACTTACACATCTCAAATCTAGATAAATATAGCAAAGTGGTCTAAAAATCAAGAGATTAAAAAAATATCAATGTCGTCTGAACCGTCTGCTGTGTCTCAACACAATGTAGGTCATGAACCAACAGTTTTTATTGTGAACATGTGATTTGGTTTTCTCAAGTCCAAAAAAGATTTAATC